AAGTCATTTTCGGTCTCCCTTTCCCTCGTTTAACCTCTCCATGGTCCCATTCTTCCACTCATCGTACTGATGCACCCTCGGGTCTCCGTCTTACATGCCCAAACCAACGCAGACAATTTTCCCTTAGTTTGTCCGCAATGCCTGCCACACCTATCTTCTTGCGAATAACCTCATTTATGATTCTATCTCTTAGAGTGTTTCCGCACATCCACCTTAACATTCGCATCTCCGTAACCTCCATCTTTTTAATGTGCTCTTTCTTAGAAGCCTAACATTTTGTACCATAGAGCAACATTGGTCTTATGACAGTCCTGTAGAATTTTCCCTTCAAGAGTAAGGGAATGCTTTGGTCGCATAACACTTCCGTGACCGCTCTCCACTTATGCCACCATGACTTAATGCTATGGGCCACGTCTTGATCAATGTCACCATTTTTCTGGATGATCGACCCAAGATATTTAAAACATTCGCTCGTGGTCAAGTCCTTTCCATCCAAACTCACCACCTCATTGCTTGACCCACTCTAAGTACCAAAGCGACATACCAAATATTCAGTCTTACTCCGACTTATCTTAAACCCTCTAGATTCCAACCTTTGCCTCCATTGCTCCAACTTGGCATTAACTCCATCTTTAGTTTTATCCACCAAAAAAATATCATCCGCAAACAACATACAACATGGGACTTCATTTTGAATTGTTCTAGTTAGTTCATCTAGGACCGTTGCAAAAAGGAAAGGGCTTAATGCAGACCCTTGATGCAATCTAATTGTAATAGGAAAATCTTTTGTCAACCCTTCACATGTCCTCACATTGGTTGACACATCTCTATACATATCCTTAATCGGGTCCACGTACCTTCGTGGGATACATTTCTTCAACATTGCCCTCCAAAGGTTGGTGCCAATAAAATCTTAATAAATGGTTGCTTAATTAGGTTTATAACCTCACATGGTTGGTCAACCCTCAAAATAATGGCTACAAGAAGGATTTAAATAGTTAGAGAACTTGCATGTTTTAGAACTTTTTGCTCGTAAAACAACTTATTCCTTCTGTCTCAATTTTATCGTCATGTGAAAGTTTGCTTAAAGTTTTAGGTGATAAGTTATTGGTTTATCTATTATTCTCTCCATTTTTTTTTCTTAACACTTTGACTTTTATTGGTGAATGTTTAAAACTTTGAAATAAAAACTCACTACTATAAGCATAAAAAAATATCATGTTAGATCTTGTATTTTTGTTAGATCTGGCTTGAATTATGTTTTCAAAATATTACATTTTTAGAAATGCCTTGGAGACTGTAAATTCATATGTGTAAAGAATAAAGGATTGAGGAGTATATTTTAAAAGATAAGTAGTGAAGGAATCTATAATTGAATGAGGAGAGTGAGACCTTATATTTTGGTAGTGGGTAGAGAGGGTAGTAAAATATAAGTGGGTCTATGGCATAAAAGGAGTGTGTTAGTTGATTGTGACAGACATAAATTAGAAGTGTGAGAATAAAATGGGATGTTGGGAGTATTTGTTTTACTTATTGATAAGCAAAGAAATTTCATCATACTAAGAAAATAAGAATTTCAATTTGAGGGGTTTATTAGGACACCAATCCCTAGAAAAAAGAAGAAAAAAAAGAACTCTTAACTTTGCACTGCATCAGAAAGTCACATGCAGGAAAAGTTTCATGTGCTTGAGCCCAAAGAGAACCTAAATTCAGTAATTCGCCAACTGATCCCATAGGTTTCCCAAAGAAGACACTTGAACATTGAAATCCTTTTTCATTCCTAAAACTAGGAAATTTATTGATTAGCTATACTTTTTAGCCTCATATTCAGTACGCGGAGAACCATTTGAAATTGTGCATTCCCTAGCTCCTCCGTACTTTTAGTTGGATTTGATTATTACATGTTTTATTTTCCCTGCAAGTCTTTGAGTTGATATTTAGTCTTAGTCAATAGAAACACCGACTTCATATCCTTGCATTATGGCATCTCACATGCACGATCCAACCTGGCCTTAATAGTGGCTCACCTATTTCCTGTATCATTGTAAAGAGCGATGATATCATTTGTTGATCATTTTATGTAATCTGTCATTATTGAGTTTCTCATCTCTTTATGATGTTAATTATTATTATAGTATCTGTTCTGCCATTTTCATATCAAGATCCTGTAATCATGAGATTGACCCCTAATTGTAAATTTTTATAAACTTAAAAGCTACTTTATCTTGCCTTCATGAAAAATAAAAAAATAAAAAAAATCATTTGTTTGCTGATGCTAGCTGTACTCTTGATGTTAGTATTAATGGAGTAGAAGAATATAGCTTAGTCAAGGAATTTATTATAGCTATTAGAATATTGGCATCACCTTTGCCAGTTTCATTGCCATTTGCCCAAATAATTAAATCACGAGATAGACTCTTTTTCTATCAGAATATTGATCATCATACCTAATCAACGCGGGATCCTCTCTCTTTTGGCTAATATTGTAAAAGAAGATGCTCTTGGGTCCAATCATTGTGGATTTATATGATTAGAAGGTGTTTTTCTTATAGTTAACTTCTATTATTGCTTCGAGGTCTATGATCTTTCTTGCGTAGCTGCATTAGCTTGTACTTAAAATTATACTCGTAGCATTGGAATATCTATGGTTTTTCAATTTTAATGGTTTTAAAGTTATGAAATTTGGAGGGTCATCCCTGATGCGGGAGCAATAGTCCAATATGGGTTTTCTTGAAAATTCATGGAGTTTTTAAAAAGCCTACACTATCTTTTAGTTGTTATTAATTATTAGGATTTTGCCTATGGGTTTTTACCTTCCACTTAAAAAGATTTTTCCTATTTTTAGGCTTTAAGAGTTTTAGTTATTAGGATATTTATTTGTTTAATTTATTTATGTTAGGATAGATTTAGTAGTTAGTTACACATATGATTAGTAGATTTATTAGAATTAGGATTAGGATTCTTAATATTATATCTTATTTTAGGATATGATTATTAGTTTCCTATCTTATCTTTGTACGATTTTTCACCTGTGCATATCAATAGTGATTTTTAATGAATAATGATGAGAGATTTGTTTTGGGAATTAATCGTTTGAACGTTGCTCGTTTGATTGTTAATCAAAAACATCACTTGTTGCGATTCGTGATCATTTTCTAGTTGCGACTAGGAAGAAACCCTCTATTCTTGCGAGGATTAGAGTACTATCCTATTAATTTCGTGTAATTCTTTAGTTCTTGCTAAAATTCGAAGATCCAATATTATTATAGCTTGCGAGCCTTGTGAGAGTCTTGAGAGATCCACATCAATCCCCCTCATTCTACCAAATGAACCTCTGTTCCACTCATGTTGAAAAAATTGAATGCTAAATATAGTGGAAGGTTTTCTCAAATTATGTTTTATAGTTCTTGGAAATTGTGCAATTAGATCCATCATGATTTAATTATTGATTTTTCCAAAGTCCACATTGTTATCTGTTCTTATATGAATTGATAAATGAGAAAGTTTCTAGTTTTGGCATTACCTAAAATATATTGCTTATTAGAATTGCAAGTGTTCTTAGCTAGGTGAGGATGTATGTATCGATATCCAAAATTTATTGAGTTTGATCATTGTCCACTGATTATGGGAGGCATAAGTAAAAAGTCATCCTAGCTGAACCCCGATTAGAAAAAGTCGAAAATCTTGAGTTTAAAATGCAATTTTATATTTGAGAACCAAAATGTCACACAAAAAATGAAATAAAAAAGAAGATAGTTGAATTCGATTGTTCCCAAAATTACCCAGCTTACAAGCCTAACCTTTTATTTTGATGGTCTAACTACCTAGTTATTTGGACCGTCGCTGTCCGAGTCTTTTGACCTTAGATCCATGTGGTGTGCACTCGTCTCTTAGCGAAGAGGAAGCTAGCCAAGCGGAAAGGTTCTTGTGAGCCCAGAGCAACAGGCGAAAGGGGCTTTGTGTGCACAGAGCAACACAAGTGAGAGACAAGCTTGATAGACACTCTTGCTTGATGGCGAGAGTGTAGACAAGAGTTGAAGGCTTGTGACGGCTGAGTAATTTGAGGCCGGCACAAGAGTTTTATTTGTTTAGGGTGCCTTAAACATGTGGCGGCACAATATCTCCTACGAAAACTTGGATCTTATTTAATCACTGTTTACTAAAGATCTTGATTTTAGATTTACTTTTTTATCCCATTGGACTGACAGAAACATAAGCCTAGGAAAGTATCTAGAACACAGACTCGGGTACATGTCCATGTTCTGTACTTGTCTTTTTATGTAAATTTGCCATGATTATAAGCCAAATTGAAGGTTTAAGTGTCCATACGCTTGTTGGCATGTTAAGGATTTGACATGGGAGTTTGAGGTAATGTAATGAGTATGAGCAAAATATCTAAACTACGTGTTGTACATTAGGTGAGGGAGCAGGTTTAAAGTAGTGGTTTTGGAATCAACCTGAAAACTTGGTAATTAATGATGGTATTAGTCTTGCTTCATCATACAAACTGATGGATTGTGTTGACGAAGTAATATTTGTAGCTGGCTTTGGAAGTAGTATAATGTGGCATAACCAATTAGCTATAGTAGTTCATTAATGATAGTCAAATATGAATTTTTGATCTTGGTGTACTTAAGACATGTTATTATGTTATACTCCACAGATTCTTTATTGGGCTAATAAATTTAATTAATTTGGATCTTGACTAACAATCTTAAGTGACCAGTTTAATGATAAATCTGTTTTACTTATATATTTTATATCAAATTTTTTTTGCATGTGCTTTGGTATGCATGAAGTAAAATAGTTTTATCATTTAGCGAGAAAAGATAGATCTCTTTCCAGGAGATTAGTTTTCAGGAATATCTGTAGCCTACCATCTACCAAAAGGGAGAACAGAGTAACCATTAGAGATAGAGGCTTGGAACAATTAATAATATGTTTTTTTTGACAAAAATATGTTACTTCTGAATATAAATGTACTTGTTAAAGTAAGCTTGTGTATATGTTACTTCTGATTATCAATGTACTTGTTAAAATAAGCTTGTGTATATATATACAGATATCATCTGATTGTGATGATATTGAATTGATCCTAGGGCCAAGCATAAATGAACATAAATGAGAAAGAATTATATGTAAGCTTCAGAGTTCTTGTTTTTGAAATGAATGTTTCTATAATGTTTCACAAGAAATTGAAGGGAAAAAAATTTAATTGACAGTTCATGACATGTATGAATGTTTCTTCATCACAGGGAATGGTAAGGCCACCAGTGGGATGATGAAATCCAAACTCTTCCTCAGCAAGGCCAAGTAGGTCTTGAAATGCAGGGTGTCTCAAGTACGACAAAGGTACCACATATCGCTTTTTTCCCTCCTTGTTGGCTCCCACATAAACTGCAAGGTGACCTTTTGGAACTCCTCCCCGGTTTTTGTGCAATTTGATTTTTTGTTTGCTGTTTGAGATCATGGATGGAAACTGGAAAGCCATTGTTTTGTGGTAAGGAGGAAGGGAAAATATATTTTGAATGCTGGCTTCTTTGTACTTAGAATAAGGCTCTTGGGTTTCAAAGGCATTTTATAGAGGAAACAGAGAGGAGTGAATAGGAACTCAAGCTGAAGTTTGGCAGCTTGGAAACTCACGGATATGGGTCCACCCTCGTTTTTCAATAGTCACATGACTTCATTTGGCGGTTTTTTTTAATTGCTTGTATGTATGCCTTTATCCCTTGAATGATTGCCTTAAACGAGGAGTGGAAGAGTGGGATCATGGAGAGGTTAAACGAGGTAGAGGGAGACTGATAATGACTTGGTTGGAAGGAGTTAGGAAAGATATGAAGCATATGCATTTGCATGAGAATGAGGTATTTGATCGTAAGGGATGGAGGAGGAAGATTTTTGTGGATGACTATATGGAACAATCACTTTTGGTTTATGTAGCCGACCCCACTTATGGGATTAAGGTTTTGATTGATTGATAATTCCATAAAAAAACTTTTTGGGGGTAGGTCATCTTCTGTCTGAGATGGTCCTATAAAAATTTTTGAGTGGGAAATGGTGGCAATGTGAAAACCTTTAGCTGTTTGGTGTAGTTTCTCCATATCTAATCAACCTTAATGATTGATATTAGTAGGCAGAAATGATGTACCTCATGTCCTTGCATTATTAGCCTACTAGGAATCTGGCTACTCTTGTAAAATAAAAGGCCAGCCTGGACCAAAATAACAGATCACTAAACCAATTTTCAAGTTTGACGAGAATGCTTTTGCTGATATTGGTCATGTTATAGATGTAAATGCTCAATTGCTCATGGAATTTCTGAGCATAGACTTTATCACTATTATAGTGTATTATTATAGCCTATCCCGTGGCTAGTTTATATGCCAAAATCATACAAGCATTGTAGCCGTTATTACTATAACATGAGATGGACTTTTGTTTCCAGTTGCAAGACTCAAGAGTTGTATCTAACTAACGCGGATGATCCTTTTGGAATTCTCTGGCTAATAATGTCACCAACATGATCAATGATTGTTTAGCTCAATAATTAAGTGTATTAATGGAATTTGACTTTCGTGGGAATGGTGAGTTTCTAATCTTGTATATTTTGCATGTGCTGGTATTATACCCTTTCAACTATATGCTTATACGGGGACGACAAACCGCTTCTTCTCTTCCTCTCCTACATAGACAGCAAAATGGCCTTTAGGAACTGGCATTGACATGAAAATTGCTGGGAAAATACTGGCCCCCTTTTGGTGACTTGCCTAGCACACTTGCAGATTCCCACTGAATGGCTTCCCATGTACTTTGTGATTTTGTTAAAATCAAGAGAGATTTAGAAACAGAGCAAAGACAGTGAAGTTCTATTTACAATGTTTATGTTTAGAAATTTTGTAGGGTATGTGCCTACACTGGTGTGTATATATAGAATAACGTTGATATGCAAGAAATAAAATATATTTATTTACCAATTGGCTTATGTACTTATACTTGGGGTGATTCTGTATGGTTAAAAATATCCAAGACATGCAAATTATACCTTTTGTTGCCCTTTACATTATTAGCAATTCTAAGATTTCTGACACAGCACATGGAAATAAGTCAATAACGTCGTCTTCCCAACTAGTATATGAAATGAAATCCAACCACGAGTTTTTTCACAATGAGGCAATCCCATGTTTACTGAGCATGTTATCATGATAAGACCTTCTAGCCAATCCAAAAGCTTGTATATTGTTACTGGAATTATGGAATGACACTTGGGAATTTTTTTTTTTTTTTTTTAAAAAAATAAATTTGATAGTCCCTTTTTTAATCATTATAATAATATTTATACCTATTATTAAGAACCCTGATGCATATCAGCATATTACAATCCTCTTGAATTTGAAAATGTCTAGAAAAGGATTTGCTGCAGAGTTTGCAGGTTATCATTGGTCATATGATTGCCCACTGCATATCATAAAGCCTTGCAAATTGATATTTGGCTTTGTCATCATTCATAAATGCTTACTGTTGTTTCTCCGCCATACATTTCTCCCCTCATTATATATGCTTCTATTTTGTGCATGAATGTGACCTCCTCCCGGAAATGTGTCATGTTAACTGTACTGAGATGGAAATAATTTGTAGTTTATTTCTTCTTCCCACCTAACCTTGCTGCAGGAGAAGGTGTCTCGTAAATTGTAAATTAAATTGTGGGTCACTTGCTCTTTATGAGAGCCCAGTCTGCCCACTTTTTTTTTTTTTTTTTCATTATGTGAGCCCAGTGCCACTTTTAGTTGCTGGCTTGTGGAAATTAAAAATAGTTGGGCTAAAATAGCACAACAATTATACACTTCTTCATTCCTTAATGTTTTTCACACTTGCTTAATATGAATGTCCCCAAATTGTTGCTCACGTTTCTAATTTCGGAATACCCTCAGGGCACGATTCTCAAGTGAATATTTCATTTGTTTTTTTAAGAATTCAAGTGTGCAACGGGCCCCACAATCCATTAATATTTCAGATATCAATGTATCTCATGTTATGCCCCACTTATGTTCTAGCCGATAAAATCCAAGTATTTCACCATGATAAAAAAATAAAAAAATTGCAAATTAAATGGCAAACTTGTAATTAAGTCAATGCATTCTTATTAAATACGGGCCCTACACTCGTTAATTTAATTACAAAAATGCCATGTTAAATAGGTATCTATGTTGACTTAATTATAAGATTGTCACTTGATTTGCATTTTCGCTTGTCATGGAGATAAACTAGGGCTTGCTCTATTATTATTATAGCCTTAATGTATGTGCCAAACCCTGCTATGAAAAAGCCACAAGGGAAGGAGAGATTATCTAACATTAGGTGAAATTACTACTTGTCCTTTTTTTTTTTTTCTAAGCTATTCTAACTATTTAGGTTAACTTACTGATGAATGAATTTGTCAATTTGCATGGCTTAAGATGTTTAAGATATACAATATCTATATCTATCTCACTCTGATGTGGCTTGTTAAACATTGTATGGCATTCTTGGCTTTTTTTAAGATCATATTTAGGGAGGAATGACAGGTTTCTCTGTGACACTTTGTTGGATGGTTAAATTTCTCCCGTCCCATCGAATTATTCATTCCATTTTTTTTTACAGTTCTAAGTAATATGTTTGATCATTTTTTAATTATGTATTATTAAAATTATAAAAAAGTTTATGTTTTGAAAATACTTATTATGAGGATCTTACAAATTCTCATTTGATAATGTTTTTTTTTTTCCGGATATGTTTTAGGGAATTCATGGTGGATGTAATAATTTTTTGACTTCAAAAAAGGAAGTGGAGCAAATAATAAAAAAGGAGATTACCGGTGAAAATGTTTTCCTTTGGCTGATCTATGGGATTGTTTTTGAGGTATATATTTAAATAATATCAAGCATCATTGGCATGCAATTTAAATCTCATTGTTTTCTGTAGTGGATTCCTTGTCCTCTGCTGTTGTACTTGTCTTTGTATTATTTATCAAACTTCTCCTCATTTAAATATAATATACAACCTTTTCTTGGATCTTTGTGTGAGGTTTAATAATTTAATACAACTACAATCACTGAATTTGATAGTGCTCGTGGGGTTAATTTCTCTTTCATCATCATGTCTATAGTTTCTCAACGCAATTACAGGTTAAAGTTGTTAGTACTACAACGATAAGGAGTTTTTGAAAGATGCATCTCTTTCATTTATAGTATGTTTAAAGGTTAATGCTAAATTTTCTATTTCCTTGTGTCCGACCTATTGGGATTACAATTTACTCCTATTTTCAAAGTTTTTGGTTAAGTGGAGTTGATGCGAGTCAAAGTTGGTGAGACTAGATGTAGTGAATGTGATAGTCTTTCATACTTTGGAAACGGAAAATGACTTAAGGTTAAAAGTAAAAGTCGGGGTTTTTTTTAGTATGGGACAACCTTTTGGGGACATTCCAAAAAGAAAAATGAGACAAACAAAAGGGTTGGAGTGTTTAGTATCCTATCATATCTTATACGGAGTATGTTTTTTGATCTTAGTATATATTCCTCGTTTAGTTAGAATTAGAACTCTTGGTACTGTATTAATTCCTCAATTTTTTTATAAGTGCGGCATGTAGGAAAAGTACAGTTTTTTTTTTTTGAGAGGAGAAATAAAGAAGTGGTCCCATGTGATGAGGAGAGATAGAGAATCATTTCCATGAGTAGTGATGTTGCACTAATTATGCAACTTTCAGATTAGGGAAACGTTGTACTTATTAGAAAATGGAGGAAGTATATTTTTTTTTTTTTTTTTTTTTTTTTTTTGTAAAACAGAACCCTAACTTCTTGTATTGCTATAATATTAAGAGAAGGTGTGCAAGGAGAAAACAACATGGCCACAGGAAATGCCGCATTGCATTACGTTTTGCATCTTAGTTAAAGTATCTTGTTACTTCTAAAAAAGGGTTTTCCTTAAGAATGATAAATTGTATGCAGTTAAATCTTGATTTGCTGTTGTAAAGGAAGGTGGGCATTTTGTGAAAGGGTGCAAAGATCTTTTGGAAACTTAGCGTTAATATATTTGTTTTCATCTAAGTCAGCATTGCTTAATTTATTGACTTTCTACATTCTAGTATCTTTTTTATCCTTGTGTTGTTGAATGCTGAAATGCTGACAGAATTGTAGACATTCACTGTTAAAGTGCAAATCTTATAATCACATCTATACTATGCCAGCCTATAAAGACCTAAAAAAGATAAACAAAAAGAGAGAAACAATATAATTTGAATTCAAAATTGTTCTAAGAAATAACCTAACTCTTTCTTTCTCCTCAGGAACTGAATTGACAGGTAAGTTTGTTGAACGCTTCCTCTCCACAAGGAATGCTTAGACCGCCTGTGGGGTGATTAAAGCCAAACTCCTCTTCGGCACTTTTAAGTAGTTCTTGGAATGCTGGTTGGCTCAGGTAAGAAAGTGGCACCACATATCTCTTTTTTTCTTGTTCTCCAACGTAGATAGTGAAATGCCCTTTTGGAACTGCTTGCTGATTGTTGTTATGAATTGATGGTAATTTTAGTAGCTGTCTGGCATTAGAGATCATAGATTGTAACTTCATTTTGAATTTTGAATTAACAATGGTTTTTATATCTGCGGGATGGAGAAAAAACTAGGATTTTTGTTCCAGTGCTTTTGGAAAGGTAAAGAATATATGCTTCCTATTTATAGAATTTGGAATTTTATTTGTTTATGTTCAAGGACCCACTTCTATTAAGAATTTAAGGATCACATGTCGTCTTTCATCATCTTATATAGTCATCATTTGTCTCTAATTGCTATCTGTGGGCAAAGTCCATTGGTTAGTTTCATAATTATCTGGTTAAAACTATAAGATCTCCTGATGAAACGGTTGAATCCTTTATATCTGGGTCTGGGTGATCTTTTGTTTCGGTGATTGGCTGCTGCAGTTCTGCATTGGAAAATGATGGGTCAGCTCAATAAATCCATGTGAAGTTTGCATTGAGTTTGAACCCCTCGTAAGCTCTTCTTGTTTTCTGGGGTAGCGTTTGTAGATTGAACTCTTTTCTTCTCTCTTAAGAACACATAAAAATTTAGGTACATATATTCTATTTGATGTGGATACATGCATGTCAAGCTCCCTTTACGTTAAGCATATGAAGTTTGGATACCAAAATTGCCATAAGTTTTTGTGTATGTGGGTGCTTTGGTTGGATTTTTGTGTTTGAGACTTGGTCTCTTTGATTATGGAATTGAGTGATGTAATTAGCTAATTTAGCTTATCTTTGGGATCTCACTTATTTGAAATTCCTTATGTGTTCCTTTTTGATATTTTTAGGCTTTGGTGGTGTATTAAAACAATATATTTTCACTTATTATTATTTTACTTTAAAAAGAAAGCATCAAATATTGCATGGTTTAGTGGTAAAACTTTAATGTATAATATTGGGGTCACGAGATCAAAATTTGTATGAGGCATGTTCTAACTTTATAATCGTATGTGGATGATATGGAACAATGCAATTAAAGGGAGAGTGCCCCGTGACACATAAACTTGTTTAGGAACAATTTTTAATATATAAGTAATTAGTTTGTAATAGATTACAACTTTACAAGTATGGGCCAAGTGGTAATAAGGTTTAACAAATCTTCAAGAGTGGACCGATGAGTCCATTTTCATCCTTCTTTCTACTCAAAAGATCCCCTATCTTTCTTCCGAAATCTCAAAAGTGTTACTAGTCATGCTGACATTTTTCTCCTTCATTTCACTAAAATGGCAATATTAAATGGTTTGAGATATTTCAAAGAAAAATGCAACTCTTCCTAGTTCTTTATAACTTTTACAATTTAAATCATTTACATTACTAATTTTTGGCCCATTAAATTTCTCTCCTCTCTTCTCTTCTCTTCTTTGGGATCTTCCTTAAATATAAATATAGTACACTTTACTTTTTGTAAAAAGGGTTGGTTTGTCTCTCTTCTCTTACCTAAAATAATGTGTTATATGCTTGCAATTTTAATAAAACGGAAAAAGTATTTATTAATCTAACTTCCACTTTGTCCATCATCCCTTTCAAAGTGATGGGATGCAATGTAGGCTTGAAGCTAGAATTCAATTACTGCTTTGATTTAACCATGAACCTTGTGTTTCTAGCTAGGCCTTTCTTATGTGAGTGCCAACTTATGCTCCAAGTTGTTGCTAGCATGCTATTGCTCATGCATTGAGGTAACTCATTTTTCCTAATTTGTATAGTGTGAGGTTTTGGTGTCTTACTCTTATGAAGTATTTATTTGTGTATTTTCCAAAATTAGGTATGGATGTAGTATCAACTAAAACATAATTGATGTGCAGTTGAAGAAAAGATACCTAAGGACCACCTTGCCAACTACAAGGTATAGGATTCACGAGGAATTCCTATTGTCTAACTGATTTGCAAATGTATCCCAAAGTGTAAAATGGTAATCATACTACTTGTGTTTATTATCAAATAATGAGATAAAGGTGCTTGAGAGAGAAAGAAAGAAAGAGAGAGAGAGAGAGAGATAAAAGTGGGTAGAATGTGAGCCCTACGCTACACAGACTATCACATGGAAGAGAGAAAAAGGTAATTGAGATCTTTTGATTACCATTGAAAGCGTCTCTAGTAACATTACATGCATATATAGTACCATTACATCCTTACACTAACAAAGTGTTGGCTCACTTGTAACTTTTTAAGTTTATTATCCCATCTCCTAGAAGTTTGGGGTTCGAATTCTATCAAGTGAGGGTGCTTTGAGGGTAGGGATTCCCTTACCCTTCTCACTACTCCCAAGTGCCTAACCCGCAAATAGTGGACCAAATAAACCGTGAGGGTGCTTTGAGGGTAGGGATTCCCTTACCCTTCTCACTACTCCCAAGTGCCTAACCCGCAAATAGTGGACCAAATAAACCGTGAGGGTTGAGGTCTAGTCAAGGTCCACATTACCAAAATATATACTTCCTCCGTTATTTCCTTCGTTTCCCTTACATTGCAACAGTTATCATTTTAGGAAGTTTCACAAATAATGCAACATTACCATATGTGCACATGCTTTTTCTCTATCTCTCTCCTCATCACATGGGCTCTATTTTTAATTCTCTTTATTTCTCTCCTCATCTTAAATTCCATGTCTTCCCCTTGCAATATTAGGAAAACGGAGGAAGTATATATGTAATACCATTGCAATACTCAATGGTACTATTTTACTACCTAATGGTACTACTTTTAACTTTTCAAATAATTACCAAAATGTCATGTTAGACAGAAGATGTGTTCTTTCTAAAACCCAAACCCTTGGAATCTTTTCAAAAAGTAGTAACAACACTACCTCCCACCCCTTGTTGGCAGTATTACTTGCTGCCTCTTGCTCCAACCACCATGTCCTTTTCATCCTTCTAACCATGGAATCCTTTTTAGCATTCATTGATTTATACACAAGACTTAAGTGATGAATTTTGTAGATTTAGAGCCAGTCCAACAATTGTATTAAGAAAGTACAGTACCAATGTACTATCTTAGGAATGTATGATAAAATCCTCAATAAAAACATGTGGTATTAAGTACGGATTTCTTGGTGTCACTCATTGTAAACCCATGGATTTGATACCAAAACCAATACTTGATATGGTGAACCAATCGGCTGAATAACTTATAATTTGATAGGTGTTCATCGCGAGGAATAAAGATGTGCTTTGCTGATTCTCTTGAGAGCATTCCTGTTTACGAGAGCGCGTTTCTTTTTACTTTGTGGGCCCAATTTGTGCATTCTGATGTTATTGTTCAGATTAAGTGTTACGGAGTATATAAATATATGCTTGATTAATAAGTAATAAGTAGAGATTCTGTGAGAATATTTTCTTACATCATTTTCTCTGACTACAAAATATCAAATCAGTCACAAAAATAAATGGAACTGAGTTTTTAATATACATGGGTAATCTTGGAACTAATAAGGGCCAAAAAGTCTTAGAAATAAGAAGCTAGAAAAGAAAAAAGAAATAAACTATCAGCTCCATGATTACTAAGGATATGGATAAAGGTTTTTCATCACAAGGAATGGTCAAACCGCCCATTGGATGATTAAAGCCGAACTCTTCTTCGGCGCGAGTAAGCAGATCTTGAAATACCGGATGGCTTAAGCAAGATAAGGGCACCGCATATCGTTTCTTTTCATTGTTATAACCTCCTACATATACTGTGATATGACCTTTTGGGACACCTTGGGTTTTGCTAAGTAATTTTAGGAGTTGTTTGGTGGAGATAGAAGGCAATTGGAAAACCATAGCTTTTTTGAGAGAGATGATTCTTTTAATCTCAGAAACAGGGGAGGCCGGGAGGAGTTTTCTTATTTGAAAGCTGTTTTGTTTGGGAAGGTTCGGCTGGTATTTATAGTGATGCACAACTTCAATGATGGAGGTCAGGAACTTTGGTACTTGGAATTTTTTTTATTATTTAGAGGGCTTCAATCATCTGTGAACATGACCCACCTTATCAATGTTCACATGGTTATGATAACTAGGCTCAACAATTTTTTATTGCCTCCTCACATGTAACCTTGGACCTCATGGTTGCCATACTAGAAAAATTGAATAAATAGACTTGATTTCAGCTCTGCAGTCACTAATCAGCAGAAGTGATGCATAGCACTATGGTTTTATTTGCACGGGCAATTTTTTAACTGAAAATTGAGTGACCTTAGTCGCAAGTCGGTATGACTTTGCAGAGCATCTATTATGCACCCGGATTCACCTGGCTCTAGGTGCACCCCCACATCAAACTACTCGCATGCTCAGCACATGAGCATGTGTGTTTTTTTTTTCATATTTTGTTAAATCTCTAATGTTATTTTGTGTTATTCATTACAAATGAGGGTATAATGAGAAATCCTAGCTTGATCGATTACCATTACGAAGTATAGGAAATGTGATTTTTATCCAGACTTCTCAAAATAGTATACACATGACTCTTTTTGACCGTGGGAGATGGAATTATTATACGTGTTGAATTATATTATGCACATTATTTCTGATTGAGGGCCACAATGATAAGTGTGACTACAAGTGTGGTTCAAAGCAATATCAAGAGCAGTAGTTCAAAAGACGCTCGAGAATAACTAGAAAGATAAAGAAGATTTGAGGAGATCCTGAGGGCCTCACAGTCTAACAGGAATTAGAGTAACTACAGAACAGCTTTCTAAATCTTAAATTTTTTTAGCCCTTTCATTAAGTCATTAAGTACTAACTCTTTACATCTAACCCTTGTTAGCCTAGGAGGCTAGGATTCTGACACCTGAACTTTAACTATCATTCATCAATTCTAACTTATTAAGCTAATTAAAATGGTGCTTGAATTTTGGATTAGATTAACTTTGAACATGCATTAAACTGTAATTTGTTGACTTTATTTCTTGTTCTTTAATTTGTCAAGTATTGTGCCATGCAATGAACGGAATATATCTTTCAAGTGTATTAATTGCATTATCAGCAGTTTTATTGTTTATTCCGAATCTTTCCACATTAATTTTGATGAGCCAACCTGGACATGCAGTGATGCATAGCAGCTACTACCCAATATACTT